CCCCCCCCAAACCTTTGTGCCCAAGCGTAGCCAAAGTGCTGGGGGCATCTTAGCAAGTGCATGGTGGAAAGCTGGTGCTGGCTGGGGGGAGGCAGCAGCCGGCACATGGGGTCACACCGATGCCCACGGGAGCATCACTGGCAGCCAGTGGGGTGTCTCGCCCAAACCTCAGCGTTTCCAGCCTAAAGCAGCAGTGCTGGCCCTGCGTGCCGCCAGCTCCCGCACAGGAGTCCCTCCCCGGCCTGATTTACCGACACCTCTCCGGGCGCGGATGTGGTTTTCTTTACCGTACCTTTGTGGCACCTTCCTTAAATCTTTTATTTGCCGGTTGTCTGACCTGTGAGCAGGAGCGTTGCTAAGAGGTTCAGAGGAGCATCGTGAGAGCAGTGATGGCTCAGCCCTGTGTTAATCCATTTGGGGGGAGGCTGGTTTTTCTCTCGACACCGAGAAGCCCCTGGGAAACCTCCTGGGGGGGCCCTGCAGCCCCCCTGCACTTTCCCCCTCCTGCAGCATGGGTCTGTCCCCCAGGCAGGCGGCACAACAGGACTGGGGTTGCTCCGAAACCCCCTGGGTCTCTGTCCCTGGGGCTCAGCTCCAGTTGGGACCCCCCAGCAGCTTCCATGCGGCTTCACTGGGGTGGGGGCTGCCTCCCTGCAGCAGCAGCAGAGGCGCAGGGGCAGCAGGTCTTGTGCATGGAGGGGCAGGGATTCAAGCAGCTCCTCTCCAGGACACACAGACCATTTTGGGAAGAGTTGGGCATGTGCCGGGCCGGCAAACGGTGCCAGAGGGCTCTCTGGGGCGGGGAGGGAAGCACAGCCGTCAGCTCGAGCAGTCGGTACCCGTGTGTGTGTGTGCGTTGTCTTCCGGCCAGGTGCAAATCCTGCCTTTGGCTTCGGCAATGTGTGGATTTACCGGGTGACACCGATGGCTGGCAGCCCAGCTCCTTCCCACGGACAGTTTTCAAGGACTTCCCTTTACAGCTGAGACCATTCAACTCGTTCCACGGGTGGGGTGTTTGGTGTGCCTGCGCCAGCCGGGCTCAGCCCCGGCACGGCTCAGCCATTCTGGAAGCAGGAGGCCGCGGGCACCCGGGAGGCTGTTTTAGCTGAACTCCAAACAATAGAAACTTATCATTAAAAAGAAATGTATCTTGGCTTCATGTGGCCTGGCAGCGCGGGGAGGAGTGATTCAGTGGCTTGTCAGCCCTGGGTGTTAGGCACGCTGAGCTGCACAACTGGACACTCTCCAAGTCCAGCAACTCATTTGCTGCAGATGGAGCCGGGACCGTGCAGCGGGCTGACATCTAATTTGCAATCCAACATACCTTGACATAACCCACAGCCGAATTGCGGAGGCTGGCGTGGGACGGGATGCTTGGGAGCCTGCCGGGCAGGGGTGTGCGAGTGGGGCTGGGATGCCCCTGCTGCACCCTGACACTGGGGTGCCCGCGAGGGTGCGGGTGCAGGGTCCGCCCTGGCGGGTCCCAGTGCCGTTCCCGGCGGCCAGGCTCTGA